CAGTAGCTTAAAAAAACATGACTTAATTAGGATTTCCAGTCCCTGATAATCATCCTCTTCCTTGGCATGAATGACTTATTTTTATGGAAAAGTCATCACATGAAGTAATATCACCAGCTGCTTGCCACCAAACAAGCATCTTCTACAGAAAATGACTTGAACTTTTTATGCTTGTGCAAGCACAAAATAGGGAACTCTGTGAATAATAAGAGAATTAGCTCAGGAAGCTAGTTTAAATATGTTTTTAATTAATAGTAGAAGTAAGATGCCTCAGATACTTACAAATTTCATTTTTCCAGCCTGCATGGAAGTAGCCAAAAAAATAGAGAAGGATGTCATTTTCAAAGTATATGATTTATAGGTGAATTGACATTTATGTATGGTCTGATTATTCAAATAAGCATTCCTTCTAAAACAAGGAACCTGTTCTTGCTTATCAGAACTAGTTAAAATCTCCAAAGAGAAATGCTTGGAACACAGATTTCAGCTATATAGGAACTTCTTTAAGAAAAAAAAATACAAAGTGGCAAATACACACTCCCATATGAAATGGAATATTTATTCAGAATTAGAAAAGAAATCACAATAGCTTACAAATTTAAAAAGCCAAACAAATACTGCAAATATAAAAATGTCAGAAAATAATTTTGTTAATTAACTTCCTGACAAAGTCTATAGGACTTTTTTTTCCCCCAAATTTTTAGTGACATACTCTTTGATTATTTTTCCATATGATGACATTTTTGTATTATCATTTTCTTTAAAGAAAATAGATAGAATTACTATTATAAAAGAGAGGACAAGCCACATAAATAAATCCCACTAAATCTAGACTAACTGGAGCCTTGCTTCAACTTCTCCTTAGAGGAATCTGTTCCCACACCACCTAGCACACACACTATCTGGTGTGATTATATGAAATAGAAAGGAGATTACCTAAATCAGTTTTCCAACACTATGACAAAATACATGAGATAGTGAACTTAAAAATAGAAATGGTTTAAAAAATAGAAAAGGTTTGTTTTGGTTCACAGTTTTGTAGGTTCCAATAGATGATCAATTGCTTTGGGCTTGTGGTGAGATAGCATATAATGTCAGGAGGACACCACAGAGCAAAAGGACTCATATCCTGGCCTTGGATCAAAGAGAGAAGAAGAGACTTGGGTCTCACGTCCTTTCTGAGGACATATCACCAATGACCTAAAGACTTCCCTCAAGTCCTTACCTTCTAAAGTTTCCACCACTTTCTAATTGGGGTTGTGGTGGACAATTTTTAAAGTGGTAAAGTTAATTTTTTAAAATATAATTTATCAGCACATTATAGTTACACATAGTAGTTGGGTTCATCCTGACAAAATCATACATGCATGGGATTTGATTTCAGTACACATTTTCCTCTTTCTTCCCCCTCGATTCCTCTACTCTACTAGTCTTCTTTTCACTCATCTATTTATTTATTTTTAATTGGTTCTTTCTATTTATATACGAAGGTGAAATTCCCTGTGGTGTACTTATCTATGATTTTTAAAAAATTCACTCTGTATTTCCCCCCTTTTCCTTTCTTTCCTCTCTTGCTCTCAATCTCCTTCGTCTCTACTGATCTTCCTCATATTTTTATGATAGTCAATCCTCTCCTCTTCTTTCCTTTATTTTGCTCTAGCTTCCACATATGAGGGAAAACATTTAGCCCTGGCTTATTTCATTTGAGCACAATGTTGTCTATCCATACATTTACCAGAAAATGCCATAATTTAATTCTTTTTATAGCTGAGGAAAACTCCATTGTGTGTGTGTGTGTGTGTGTGTGTGTGTGTGTGTATACACACTACAACTACATTTCTTTTTTGGGTGTGGGGGGCAGGTACCAGGTATTCTACTCAGGGGCACTCAATGAGTGAGCCACATTTCCAGCCCTATTTTGTATCTCACTCTCACTGAGTTGCTTAGGACCTCGCTTTTGCTGAGGCAGGCTTTGAATTTAGATCCTCCTCTCTCAGCCTCCTGAGCTGCTGGGATTACAGGCATGTGCCACCATGCCCAGCACCACAATTTCTTAATCCATCCATCTACTGACAGATATCTGGATTGATTCCATAATTTAGCATTGTGAATTGTGCTGCTATAAACATTGAGGTGGCTATAATACCATAGTATTCTGATTTTAGTTCTTTCAGATAAATACCAAGGGGTGGGATAGCTGGGTCATATGGTGGTTCTATTCCAAGTGTTTTGAATAATCTTCATACTGCTTTTCAGAGGTTGTACTAGTCTGCAGTCCCACCCACAATGTACAAGTCTACCCTTTCCCCCAGTTCCTTACCAGCATTTATTACTGTTTGTATTCTTGATAATTGCCATTCTGACTGGAGTGAAATGAAATCTTAGTGTAGATTTGATGTGCAATTCCTTGATTGCTAGAGACGTTAAACAGTTTTTCAAGTATTTGTTGGCTATTTGTGTTTTTATATTTGAGAAATGTGTTTGGTTCTTTTGTACATTTACTGATTGGGCTATTTTTATTTTTTGGTATTAATTTTCTGAGTTCTTTGTATATTCTAGATATTAAATCTCTGTTGGAGGGGCAGATGGCAAAGATTTTTTCCCATTCTGTAGGTTCTTTCTTGATACCCTTTTAAAAAAATATTTATTTTTGAGTAATAGGTGGACACAATATCTTTATTTTATTTTTATGTGGGCTGAGGATCGAACACAGCACCCCACACATGCCAGGCAAGCTCACTACCTCTGAGCCACGACCCCAGCCCATCTTTATTCACACTCTTAATAATTTTTTTTGGTGTGCAGAAGCTTTTTAAATTTGATGGCATCCCATTTATTGATTCTTAATTTTGTATCTTGAGCTTTAAGGGTCTTGTTGAGGAAGTTTGTGCCTGCATCAATATGATGGAGTGTTGACCCTAGGTTTTCTTCTAACAATTGCAAGATTTCTTGTCTAAGTCCTATGTTTTTTATCCTTTCTAATTTATCTTTTGTGCAGGGTAAGAAATTGGGATCTAGTTTCATTTTTCTACATTGACTATTCAGTTTTCCCAGGCCCATTTGTTAAAAAGACTGTCTTTTGATATGTCTATAACATATATTTTTGACCCCTTTATGAAGTATCAGATGGCTATAA